TTTAATCATGGAATTAGCTTGTGTTAAAGCATTCTTTCTTTGTTATTAGCAGAAGCTTAGAGCTGGGGAATATTTCCTCGACTTGATGGAATTTTTTTGTGCTAAGGGTGCTCTAAGGGAATAAAATTGAGCTAAGCATTCTTACTTTTGGTTTGGCATTAGCTTCGAGCTAAGCATTCTTACTTTCCTTTTGCCATTAGCTTCGAGCTAAGCAATATTAGTTTCTATTGGCATTAGCTTTTAGCTAAGCATTGTTCCTCTCCTAATAGAATTTGCTTGTGCTAAGCATTCTTATATTTCTTTTGGCATTAGCTTCGAGCTAAGCATTTGTCCTCTTCTTACGGAATTCACTTTTGCCAAGCATTCTTACTTTGCTTTCGAGCTAAGTATTATTACTTTCCTTTTGGCATTAGCTTTGAGCAAAGCATTGTTCATTTTAATATGTAATTAGCTTGTCTTAAGCATTCTTACTTTCGTATTGGCATTATATTCGAGCTAAGCATTATTCTTCTTCTTAGGGAATTAGCTTGTGGTAAGAGTTCGAACTTTTCTTTTGGCATTAGCTTCGAGCTAAGTATTCTTATTTTCCTTTTGGCATTAGCTTCGAGCTAAGCATTATTCCTCTCCTTATGTAATTTCCTTGTGCTATGCATTCTTATTTTCCTGGTGGCATTAGCTACGTGCTAAGCATTATTCCCCTCCTTTTGGAATTTGCTTGTGCTAAGCATTCTTACTTTCTTTTTGGCATTATTCCATTATTTTTATTTTTTTCTTTATTTTATTTATTTTATTTTATTTTTTTATTATTTTTTCTTGTGGAATGAGATTGTGCTATGCATGCTTACTGTCCGTTTGGCATTAGCTTCGAGCTAAGCATTCTTAATTTTCTTTTGGCATTAGCTTCGAGCTAAGCATTATTACTTCTGTAATTGTATTAGCTTTGAGCTATGCTTTGTTCCTCTCTTTAGAGCATCTCCAATGGAGAGGGGGGTTACCCCTCCTCTCCCCCTCCCCTCCCCCTCTCCCTCTACCTACGTCTTTTCCAAGCATTCGGTCTTTTATTACCTTTTTTCCTATTCTCACTCTCAACTCTTTAATAATAATAAAATAATAATAACAACCGACAATAATAACAAGGGGCAATAATAATAATAATATTACTAATATTAATATTAATAACTCAAATTAATAATAATAATTATTAATAATAATTTATAACAAAAATAATGATAATAATAAATAATAATAATAATAATAATAATAATAATAATAATAATAATAATAATAATAATAATAATAATAATAATAATAATAATAATAATAATAATAATAATAATAATAATAATAATAATAATAATAATAATAATAATAATAATAATAATTTAATTATAATAATACAATATTCAAATAAAAGTAAAGAAATAATCTTCAACTAATTCAATAATTGAAAAAAAAACCAAGAATAATAACCACTAATACAACATTTGAAAAAAAACTAGGATAATAACGATTACTACAAACAAAAAATAATAATTAATTGAACAAGGAATTGTTTTTGGTTTTTTCTTGTTTTTTGTTTTTTTTTTTTTGGCCAAAAAATGTTATTCGATTTATATTTATGAAATAACGAATGTGCCTCTTCAAAAACCTTTTGGGCTGACACAAGGAAAGGAATACCCATATAAATCGAACAAGGGAGATCAATCAAACGGATCAAAACCGTCGTCGTCTAAATGAGCCGAAGAACTTTCAAATAAGTCTTTTGCGATTTGTTTCCTTTGTATCTCTTTTCTTTCCGACTTCCAATATGCTTTTGTACCTGGAGCGCAATAACTTGTATCCATTGCCATAACTCTATGTTCTTCTTGCATTTGTTGAATTGCAAAGTTTTGATCATGTCTAAGCTTTCGTCCGGCCTCTAGTATTTGTACTTGATTATTATAATTAGATTACGCATTATAACTAGGCGACGCATTTTCTTTGCCTTTACGGGCTTTTTTCGATCCGATAGGTCTCTAAATGCGTTGGTCAGTATGGGAATCCACTGGTTGTAGCTCATCCCGTAACACATACGGTGGTGGGGAATAACTTGGTGGGGAATTCATTGGTTGAGATGAAGGAAATGCGGACTGCGAATGAAATGACTCCGTTTCAATTTCATCCACCATATATTCTTGCGCATTTAACATCACCCAATTCATACAAACTTCCCAACAACATTGCAAGTTGAAAGTTTTTTTTAGTATTTCTTCGATAGATAGTCAATGCCAGAGTATACTACAAATACAAATTAAAAATTAATATACTTCATGCAAATATATAAATAATAAAAAATACAATTATCATAACATTTACCTCATCGACCAGGTATTTTCCGCTACCGCAAACTTTTGATGCTTGTTTAGTTGCCGAATACCAGTGGTTCAAATACTTAGAAATTTGTTTTCTCCACAGACTAAGTATGGCATCTTTTGCTCTAATATTATACGTAATTCCCTCCTCATCAAGTATTAGTTTCATGGTAGACATAACTTTCTTTCGTAGACCTCCTTCAGTTTGGTTAGTCCCGTGAATTGTATCATCCGAGACTGCAATGTAGGCTTTCATAAGAGCTACATCTTCATCTTCTGACCAACCTTTAGTGGCAGCCATATCAAAAAATAGATGTCTTTCTCAAATAAGTGTATATGTGAAGATGTGAAGTATTGTCTAACATATCCCTTCTCGTTATATAGAGAAATCATTGTGTATAAAGAAGTGTAGAAGACAATGTAAAATTTTGAAAGGGCAAAGTAAAAATTGAAAGGACACAACTAAAATATGATAGGTCAGGGTAATTTCGAAAAGGCAAAAGTAAAATTTGAAAGGGCACAAGTAAAATATGTAAGGTCAGGGTAAATCCGAAAAGGCAAAAGTAAAATCTACAAAAGAAAAAAGTAAAATTTCAATTCAAAAGTTTGTATAGTCACTATGAAGTTCGTATGGTCGTTATCAATAGGGCTGGGACTTTGGGATCGGGATTCGGGATCCCGTCCCGTCCCGATTAGAATTTTACTATTTGGGATTAAAACTTCGGGAATTCGGGATCGGGATTAGGAACAAATACGGGATCGGGATTCGGGAATTGGTTCAATCCCAATCGGGATATTTTAATCCCGAATTAGGAAAAAAGAAAAAAAAAACTAATAAACACACACACACACACACACACACATATATATATATATATATATATATATATATATATATATACATATATATCTCTCTATATATATACATTCATAGCCATATTCATAAATGTATATAACTACATATATATAAAACTCTGATTACTTGTGAACACATGCGACTCTAGAAATATTTAGATTCTTATTCAAGCCCTCTGTTTCTGATTTTCATTCTCCTTCCCAAACTTCAATTTCCCGAAATCAGGAAAACTCTGAAATACCGGATTATATTTTCCGTTTCACCATTTTTTTACAAATCCTA